CATTTGTATGATTTTAGCATCAAAATTAAAGAGCTACTATAATTAATTTGAAGTAAAATTTTAAAAAAGATCAATTTCTTTTATCGAGGAAACTTTATAAAAAGCTAATAAAGAACAGAATTTTGTTTCTACCATATAAAATGAAAAGGATTAAAACCACTCTGATAGTGAATAATCACAGGATTCAATTAATATTTGGTAAGAAGAATGTAAATATGAGGATTTATTCGACTTATTTTAATTTAGATTTAATAATTCTTATAAAACAACTGATCAAGTGTAGAATAATGCCATACATTTAATAAAAAGCTATAAAAAGCTTTTTGGATATAGCATATTTAGAACAAATATTGGAAAAAATCCATTTTATCATATGCAAAGAAGAATGAACTCTCTAAGGAGCTTTGATGAGTAAAAGTAGAACACAAGATACTCGAAGATCTCTGTTAAATTTAAATTATAAGAAAATAAGCTTCCTTTTGGAAAGATTTCTTATATGAATAATTTAATAACAGTACAAAATAATAAGGAGAAGAAACGTTGATTATATATAAGATTAACAATTGTTACATAATGTATATTAATAAAATATGAATAATATATAGTAATTAGGGAGTATAGCTCAGTAGCAGAGCAGCAGACTGCAGATCTGTAGGTCTCAGGTGCGAACCCTGATGCTCCCTTCTTTTTTTTTTTTTGTTTTTATTAATACAATTGTATTTAATTTCATAATATTAATATTTAATACTACTTAATTTATTATTTTGTCGTTATATTCTAATAAATCTAAACTAATTCAATTTATTCAATAAATCCTTAATTTCATTTTACTTTCAAAAATAGAAAATATATTTATTATTATTAAAATTATTCATACACCATCATTCATCATCAAAAAAATATAAATTTTAATAGAAACTCAAAATAAAAGGATTCAATATATCTTATTATTCTATTTTAAGTTTACTAACTAATATTATTTGAAATTTTATTATTTTGAGACGATTTTGATTTAAATTAAATTCGTTTTATTTTTTTTTTATTTGTATAAAAGACATAAAATCAGTGTTTTAGCTTCCCTAAAATTCAAAACTAAAGAGATGTAGCTTAAACTACGAAAATACATTACTACTAAAATGAAATTTAACAAAATAAAATTAAAGTTATATAAATTATTATTAATATTCATTATGTAACTAAACATTTATTTTTTTTCCACTAAATTTAATATTAATGTCAATTAATAGTTAAAAAAATTACTTATCTATATTTATCATAAAATGTGATAAGGTTGTATTGTTACCTAAATACATATAAGCAATAAAAAAGAAAATGTTTTGAATATAATAAATTATTCTTCATATGTATTTTATAATAATATTTTATTTGTTGAAAATTTATAAAAAAACCAAATTTTTTAATAATTTCTACTCCATACTCTATTATTAATTAAGAAATTTAAAGCAAAAAAAAAATTTTATTCAATTTGAAGAATAAAAATTATTATGAAAAGAAAATTGGTTATTTTTGTCTGAAAAATCAAAATAACTGCTCCTACTATTATTAAAGAATTTCAAATCAAAGTAGTAGATAGAAAATTTTGTAATTCAATTAGTATAATTGGAGAAGATTTGAATTTTGGTTGATCTATTTAAACAGTAAATTAAAATAGTTCAGCATCTATTAGAAATTAAAATTTCTTTATAAATGTATTACAATATATTATTGATACAAATGTGGTGATAAATGTTAATTTTTTTTTTTTAATTTATAATGGGCTGTTAATTAAAATAAAGTGTCAAATCTCTAAATTAATACCCTAGGGGAGACTCATAATTTCATTTAGATAGTAGATTTTAACTATCATATTTTATTCAAAAATTAACATAGATTATTTAAAGCACTGTTTTCCTTTCAAACAGAATGGTACAATTTTTTTTTATCTTAACAATATATTTGTTAGTTGCCTTGATAAAATTTTCAGATTCTTAGTCTTTGAATCTCTAAATTATTTTCTTTATGGCTAAATTTAACTGAGAATTAAGATGGTCTCTGTTGAGTTTATGAAAAAAAGTATCAAACTGTTTTTTGAATTAATTTATATATTTATTTTTAACAAGCTAAATTAGCTTACTTTATATAATTTCAATTATTTAATTGAGATTCTAGCGTAGAACTAAATAAGTTTAAGAATGTCAAAACAGATTTATTTCAATTAAAAGACAATCTTTTAAAACCGTCCAAAATGCACAAAAAGTAAAATTATTGACAGACTAATTTATTAGAAAGATAAGAACTAGATTCCTAATATCCTAGGAATACTGTTTAAGAATTAATGGAAAATTGATTCACTTCATAATGTATTAGGATCTTTAAATCATATTTCTTCTTAATATTTAAAAAAATCAACCGAAAAAAATGATTGAGGCAATAACAGGTTAAAAAAAAAATAGGATAATGGTTTAAAAGATATATAGAGTTTAAAATTGAAAATTATCAAATTTACAATTTTTTGATAAATAAAAATGATAGTGTCTTAGTGTATTTTTCTCCTTAAATAAATAAAATAAATAATTGAGATTAGATTATTATAACCAATATATAATTTATAATTTTAATTATAGTATTTGCTAATTATTTTCACTTAATAGAGGCCAAACTTTTCAAGAAAAACTTAAAAAAATTAATAATTTATCTCAGCAATATCAAACAATTAAACCTTTTAAAATCAATATATCAATATGTAATTTTTAGTTTTTCAAAAGCTCTCTCTTTATGAATATAACAGTATATAATACTAAAAAGTTTTATGTTATTTTTGTTGAATATAAAAATTGACTTAATTAGTCATTTTTTTAAATTAATATGTTTTAGGATAATATTTTCAAACAATTTTAATAATTTCTACAGGACTAACCCACCCCAATTCTCTATTCTTATTGAAATTTAAATATAGAGCTTGCATAGTCTTAATGAATGTTTGAAGCTTGGCATATTATATTGAATACCTAATTATTAAATATAATTAAGGCTTATAAAATGTTAATTAAATATTATCTTTGTCATTATCTCTTTTAAATAAATGAAAATATTATCAATTCAAATATGGATTAAAATTTGTTTGATTTAAGAAAAATTTTGAGAAATCAACAAAAATAGAGTTTAAAAATTAGGTTAAAGAAAAATGCTAGGAAAAATGAAGAATCATAAAAAAGTTAATCTCATTCATAATTGCTTTATAATAATACATAAATAAAAATGGAGAAGAATTAGAAATTTGGAAAATAGTAATATACTAATAAAAATTTTAATAATTAATGATTAATACCTTATAACTTTCATGATGCGTTATTAATTTGAATTTTAATTAAAATAATTTATAATATTAAATAATACAAATTATTATAATTCAATTTGAATCGTTTTTATATAATTAGCAAGGTCTTCTTGTTTCTTCGTCAATTAATTAATGATGGCATATTAAACTACGGATTATCTGTAATATTAAAGGGCATGACAAGGTTCAAAAAGCATATAATCTTTAATTGATCAATGTGTGGGATTTTGGCCATTTTAAATATTAGAGGGACAGAAGTTGAAGTAAGGGCAAAAGCTTATGAATTGTCTAGAAGAATAAGACATAGAGGTCCAGATAGATCAAAGATAATTGTTCTTGTAATGATATATCCATAATGTTTAGGAAATAAGCCCAGGTTTGTATCATGTGATTTCTCATGAAAGATTGGGATTAGTGGATTTGAGTGATAAAGGTAGGCAACCATTTTAATTAATGGATGATGAAAACATAATCTATATGTAAAACGGTGAACTTTACGATTACTGGGATTTAAGACCAGAATTAGAGAAGAGATATCGATTTAGTAGTAATTCAGATACAGAGATAGTTGGAATGTTATACAAAGAAGTAATATGATTGAAAAATACAATATAGTATGGGGCAGGCAACTTTTGGAACCACCTTAATGGAATGTTTGCCACAGTTCTAATAGATATGAACAAGAAATCATTTCAAGCAGGAAGAGATCATATTGGAATAATTCCTTTATATTATGGTTACGATAAGGATGGATCGTTATTCTTATCATCTGAATTAAAAGGAATTCATGACTAAGTTGTGGATGTTAAATAGTTCCCTCCAGGTTATATATTAATAATAGTATTTTAGGCCATTATATTGATGAGACATATGAGATCAAGAGATGGTATAATCCAACTTGGCATAATTTTGATCATATTCCAACAGGACAGATCAATTTAGAAGAATTGAGAGATAAATTTGTGGAAGTGGTTAGAAGAGAAGTTTAAGGTGATGCTCCATTTGGATTGTTTATTTCAGGAGGGTATCTAATTTATGAAAATTATCATAGTGTTGATTCATCAATAGTTGCAGGAATTGTTGCTAAATTAATAAAGAAAGGAGAAATAGATTTGAGTAAGAGAGGGATGAGAAAAGTTCATTCTTTTTGTATTGGATTGGAAGGATCTCCAGATTTACATTTTGCTAAGAAAGTAGCTGAATTCCATGGATTTGAACATCATTCATTCACATATACTGTAGATGAAGGATTAGATTACATTCCTGAAGTTATATATCACACAGAGACATTCAATAATACAACCATAAGAGCATCAACACCAATGTATATGATGTGTAGACGAATCAAAGCTCTAGGAATTAAAATATGTTTAACAGGTGAAGGAAGTGATGAATTATTTGGTGGATATTTATATTTCCATAAAGCACCCAACAGAGTTGAATTTCATTAAGAACTAATCAGAAAACTTCATGACCTACATAAATATGATCTTCTTAGAGCCAATAAAGCTTGTTTGGCTTGGGGTATTGAAACTAGACCTCCATTTATGAATAAATAATGGGTCGAGTATGTTATGTAAATTGATCCAAAATATAAAATGATTAATGCCTTTGAACCTTAAATGGAAAAATACATTCTTAGAAAAGCATTTGAAGATTTAGAACATCCTTATGTACCATAAGAAATTTTGTGGAGATAAAAGGAATAATTTAGTGATGGTGTTGGTTATAGTTGGAGAGATGGTATTATTAAGAGAGCTAACCAATTAATTACAGATTAAGAGTTCTCTTAAGCATCTATCAAATATCCAGTATCCACTCCTAGAGATAAAGAATAATATTGGTTTAGATAAATTTATTCATCCTATTTCCCAAGTGAAAGTTCTGTTTTGACTGTTCCATACGCCAGATCTATTGCTTGTTCAACCGAAAAAGTAATCCATATATAATAATCATTTAGGCATTAGAATGGGATGAAGCTTTCAAAAAAAATACAGACGAATCAGGTAGAGCTGTATTAGCAATTCATAATGATGCTATTAAGGAACTCATTTAACCAGATGAGGACCGATCAACTGAGGATATTTCCAAAGTACAAGAGCATTTCTAATTATGATTTCTATTACATGTAATCAAATTATAAATCATCATTATTCATTATATATATATAATTAGTTGAGCTAAATAATTACAATTAAAAATTATGG